CTCCTCGGAGCGTGCCCGGCGAGAGCGGAGGGTTTAACAGCGGAAAAAACACAATCCGCCCCCAGAGAGCCGACTGCGCGAGCTCCACTCCCCATTGATGCTGTTGATTATAATATCAGGCATAATATGCTTGTGTAACTGGTGTTTGTGCAACTGGCGAGCTCTCTGACGCCCTCCGTATCAATCTCCTTGGAGAAAGACAGGCGGAGCGTCGCGCCCTCTCCCCGGGGGGAATGTACCGCAGCGCGGGCTTCCGAAACCCCGAGAGCCGGCGCTGGATCTGGTGGTTAAGGAAATAGATAGGGACGCGCCCGTCTACATTCCCTCCACCGGATCCATACGCGAAACCCACGAGCACAGCCGCCGCTCCGCCTCGGCGAAAGCGGGCTGGCACCGCGAGAAACGCTAGTGAAAGCTCTCTCCTCAAAGAGAGCCACCTGAGAGCGAAGCAAGGCAGTAACAAACGCTACCAAAACGGCCGTCAGCTCCCTTTTTTTTCGAGAGCTAACTCTGCGTGCTTGCTCTCAAGCAGACAACAAACAAACTATGTGTATCCCCACCCGTAAATTAACGCGGGCAGGGAAGAACACACAGCCTGAACGCTGCCTACCCTCGCCTTAGTGTCTGATTTTGTCTTGCTTTAGATTTTGTGACAGACAACACTAAATTAGACTCACAAACAGATATCAGACTGACACACACACACAGAGCGCTTGCTGAATGACAAAAGCTGACGCTGGTCTCACCACACGTGCTTTTATAGCTTCCTGGTCATTACGTCACCCGCCGTGACGTCTCGCCCATCTATTGGTCTGATTACACACGAGGTTCAGAGCCCGTCACGCTGAAGGGCGTTCCCCTAGCGTTTCCGACGCAGCTCGAGTTCCTGAAGAGGAACAGTGTTATTTTAGTATAATTTTTAGTATCTTTTTATTTTTTATTTTTATTTTCATTTTTTATTTTTATTTTATGGAAAGTTTTTGTAATTTTGTTGTGTTTTGACATTTTTATTAGCTTTTGTTCTTTTTAATGTCTGTAGTTTTTATTCATTTTATATCAGTTTTAGTTTTAGTTATTTTAGTACATCAAGTTTAACTAAAAGAAAATGAATAAGTGTTGCCTTGCCAGCTAGCTGAAATTAAAAAAATATATTATTTTATTTTATTTTAGTAAATGTTTATTTTTATTGCAAGTAATGAAAATTATTTTTATAGTTTTAGTTTTAGTTAATTATAGTAACCCTGTCCTAAATGTTGTAAATGTAGCTGCGAGAATTACTATGGCGGCGAAATGAAAGGAGAGATTTTTTGGGGTACAAGTCGGCCCTAGATGATGAAATTGCTGCCGCAGAGCTGTAATTAGGAGGCAATATCGCTGTCTGTAGAATTACGATCCCTGTGTAATTATCACACTTTGTATTACTTGCTCCTGCCTTGGCTGTTCTGTGGGAATCAGGGCTTCTAGGCAGCGGGAGGAGGCGTAGGAGGGGGGGTGAGGAGTGAAATTAAGAAATGCTGGTTTCCTTCCACAGGTCCAGAGTACGTCGTGGATGCCTCACCAACAGTATGTTATGCAACCTACGGTAAGTGCTGCTGAGGAGTGAGGAGGTGTTCATTTATCTTGTGTGTGTGTGTGTGTGTGTGTGTGTGTGTTGGGGACGTGAGGAAACAGACAGATAGAGAGGAATGAGGAGAGGGTGAGAGTGATTTTGTTTATCTTTGTGAAAGAGTGGATGATGTTCTGTGAGATACATACTTTACCCCCATTGCCCTCTTGTGGCTCAGCAAGTAAGCACAGGGGTGGTGAAAGGGGTGTTTATATGAGTTTATATAGTTCACCCAAATATTTACCATTTTTGATCATTTACTCACCCTCATGTCAATTCAAATCAAGTTTCTTTCTTACAGTATGTGGGACTTAAAATGTGAAATGTAAGAATATATGTAAGGATGAATGAGGACAGGGACAGTCAGTCTCCAAAATGACAAAACAGCATAATAAAAGTGTTTCACACAACTCATGCACTATTTTGTAAGTGTTTTTACACTAACAGGCATACTTTAAGTTGTTATTCACTGAAAATGTCTGTTTTCTGCCTCATGTAGTGATGTCCATGAGACAAATTTATTTTAATACGCGCTTAAAGGGAAATTTGATCTTTTCCTCAAATAAAGGGAACCTTGTATGACTTCAGAAGACAATATAGAGCATTAGTAATATATTTTCAAACTTTTTGATGCCACAGAAACCCCAGTTATGATGATCCCCTTTAAACCCCATAAAATATAAAGGCATCTATATATTTTCAGCCCCATTTACACTGTTAAAAATACAAATATTATATATGCATAATTATTTATATTTTATATGTTTTTATATATACATATATATATATATATATATATATATATATATATATATATATATTAAACCCCATAAAATATAAAGGCATCTATATATTTTCAGCCCCATTTACACTGTTAAAAATACAAATATTATATATATTTATATATTTATATTTTATATGTTTTTATATATACATATATATATATATATATATATATATATATATATATATATACACACACACGCACACATACTTTTTCTTTTTTTCTATTATTCTTTTTTGATTACATTTTACAAAAAATTTTCTTCAAACTTTTCTACACACCTCCTAGCACATTCTTGCAGTTCCCCAGTTTTAAAGCCTCTGACCACTTTTATGAAACTGTTATGGTGCTCTTTGTCATTTTGGAGCTCGACAGCTCACATTTTTTTATGGCAGAAAATAATTTATAGGGATTTGGAACCACATGAGGATGAGCAAATGATAACAAAATTGTGATTTTTGGGTGAACTGGCCCTTTAAGGGCAGACGACTCAAGGATTTGTTCCTCCAGTCAGTCCGCAGTCTGGATCAGATAAATAGTTCCCTTGTCTGAGCTCCATCGACACAACTTTGTCAACTTGGAGACACTTTTTTTTCTTGTTCTCTGTCTCACTGCACAAATACACAGGTACAAACTACCTCTCTTGTGTTCTTTCCCTTAACTCTTGTATAAGAAGGCAACCCCTTGGCTGAGGTCTGGAGGTCTTCCCACCGTCTCTTTGGCTCCCACCTGAACTTGGGTTTAGTGTAAGCCAGGGGTCTGCATTCCACTGTGGAAATGGCCAAAGGTAGTCTGGGATCAGGGCTTTTTCTTTGGCAGGGCCTGAAAAAAGTCTTCAGTCAGCTCTTTCCAGATACGCAGCAGGCAGACACAGGGCTTTATACTGTCCTGAGCAACTCAAGAAGGGAAATAGGGTTATAGAATAGGAGGCAGATGTCTGAATAGATAATGATATTCCCGACTTGTTGTGTTAGTGTGTGTGTGCATGTGTAGTCGGATGGGAGGTTTGATGATCATGATTATGTTGTGTAAATGTGTTTGTAACCAAACCCTCATATCTAATGATCTGGCAACCCATCAAAAAGACCTCAGCTGCCTGGGAGAGAGAGAGAGAGAGAGAGAGAGAGAGAGAGAGAGAGAGAGAGAGAGAGAGGGAGGGTGCGGGTCGGTCTGGGTCTCTTTCTCTAACAGTACGTTGTTAAAAAAAGAAGTGAACGTTATAATGATTTTTTGACAGCCATGTTAAAATATGAAAAACCCTGCATGATTTCTTTTATTCTGCAACAATAACGAAGTGCAACAGAGAAGGTGAATACTTTCTGAAGGCCCTGTGCATTCTCAATATCTCAGTGATATTGAGTGTTTTAGTTCAGTCTGGTCAAGACTACTCTCACGACTGACTCAACTGAACTTCCCCAGAACATCCCCAGTTTGTGAAGGAGCCCGACAGACACATTACTGCTGAGATGGAGAAGGTGGTAGACATCGCATGCCAAGCTCGCGGTGAGTTTGTGCGCCTCTGCCGTGTGTGTGTGTGAGTGAAAGAGAGAGAGAGAGAGAGAGAGAGAGAGAGAGAGAGAGAGGCAGTGGGAGTCTGTGAGCTGATCTCTGCCTAATTTGAAAATCCTGGAAAGAAAACAAAGGCGGGAGAAATCATGTTTTTTCTTTCTTTTTGTGGGTCCTGTGAAGAGAGAAGGCAAGCAATTAAAAGTGGCTGAGAAAGGGAAGCATTGTTATTGAAGAACGCCGCTGCATTTGGCACCTTGTTACCGTGGAGACACGTGACCATAGCGACCGGAGCCGGCGATGAGGGTTTAATCAGTAGACAATGGAAGTGCTCTGAGCTCCTACTCCGCAGTGCAGTGTGTGTGTGTGTGTGCGTGTGTGTGTGTGTGTGTGTGTGTTTTAGTATGCATCAGTGCCTTAAGTGCACCTGCTGTTGTGACCTGCTGATTATGTTGGCCATTTAGCTGAGTTATGCATTACTATCCTAGCCAGATGATAGGTGTGTGTGTGTGTGTGTGTGTGTGTGTGTGTGTGTGTGCTCACTTGTGTCCTTATAAGGGTTGAGTAAAATTCAGAAATTAGGAATTGCTCTCCTTTTAAATCACAAATGTGAATTTGAATTGAATTGACCATGAACCCCAGGATGCTAAATTGGAATTTAAATTGGCATGACAAGAGGAATTTACTGGAATGCAATTCAAAAGAAGTTCAACAAAGTCACGCATCAAAAGAGTTTCATTAGTTCAGCACGGCAACAAAATGGCCAAGAACAGATCACTTTTCAACCTGCTTCACGTAGTTTGGATCAGACATTAGGGAAATTTAAATTGTAAGTTAATTCGCCATTTTATTATCGGCTATTAGTTAATATAGTGAATACAACATATCTATATAATATTTTACATTTTATATATATTTTATTATTTTTGTGAAAACAATTCGGTTTCATGCTATAACTAAATTCTTTCTCCAGTCTGAAATTCACTAATCTGAAATGCATCCAGCTTCAAATGAATTTTACATTCTCTTTGTGTTTATGTTTGTTGTCTGTATTTATGTTTTACTGGATAACATGGCAAAAAATACAGATTCTTTGCTATTTATTTCTATTTTTGCAGTATTGCAAAATTATCAACAGTATCTTGGCCAACCAGCTTTACAAGAAAGCCCATACTGGTCGACCACTGTAGAATAAACCAACATTGAAATTCATGCATGTGTAAGCTAGTCTTTTCAGCAAGGTAGCTGCACAGATGTTGTCAGCAGGGCACACACACACCAACCAGCAAGCACACACTTACCCACAATCCACCACCCAGAGGGCCATCACTCAACTGTACCTGTTACTTTCCATCTTAGTGCAGAAAAGAATCCCCAGCCGCCCTAACCAAATCACATCCTGGAAATGAACGTTAATGAATCAAGGCCGCAGTGCATTAGGGCAAAGCCATTTGAAGTGGAACCGCCATGCAAGAGGAGAGAAAAGAAATTAAACGCTTCTCTAAGCCCCCGCTAGTCACGGCCATTTGCAGAAACAAAGAAGGCCCCATGTTACCCCATGTTTGAGTAAAGATTTGAGTTTATCTCAGCCCCATCGCAGCCCGAGAATACTCTGTTGGGATTGGCGGGGTGTTGTGTGTGTGCATGAGAAAGAAAAAATGCATGGTATATGTTTTTCTTAATGTTTATAAATGGTGGGAATTGGTGGTTATGCCTTGACACATTTCGTTTAAGATTAATATCAAACATCCTCCCTGGCAGCCTGCTTTTTATAAAGCACTGGTACCTGAGAGAGACAAAAAGATCAACTTCCTTTTCCTGTCTCTATTTTAGATGTCTTGGCAAAAACTCTCCTTCCTCTGATGTTACGGGAGATTTCTGCTCGTCTAGTTTACATCGGAAATCTCTGGCTTTAAATGGCAGCCACCGACGTTTTGGCTGCCAGAACTCGAAAACATCAGCTTAGATGAATGTATATTCTGTCTGAGGTTAAAAGTGAGTTTACAGGCTGTTGTCTGAAGAGGGAAATCTCATTGGCTGTCTCAGAAATCCTTCTCAGAATGTCTCTTACTTTCCGAATACTTCCCCTCAGGGAAATGAAGGAAAAACACACACGTACGCACAAGCGCGGCTTTAATCATCTGTCTAAGTCTCACACTGATACGGCTGTAAATTAGAGTGGAGAATTATTCAGCATGGATTTCTTTTTTCCTTTGCTCATTATGAAAGCTTGTCGCGGGGCGGGGGAACTGTTAGCTTGAGGCTCTCGCATCTGAAAGCTGAGCGGGGCCGCTGAACAGTTTACCTCTGAAAGCTTGAATAGAGACAGAGCGCTTCTGACACCAAGTGCCTGTACAGTTTATTCTTCAAGCGCAGGCAAGCACCAGCAGCACCAAGATGTGCTAGCCGAGAGACAGACTGAAGCTCACATGTTTGTGAGTGTGTGTAAAGGCTTTTTTTTTTTTACTGTTGGTGCACCCAAAGAGAATGTCTCTGTCAGAGCTCTTCAGAAACTGGTACAATTTACCTGGAGTAACCAGCCATTTTGTGCTAGAAATGACTAGCAATCCAGATACAATACTGGCGTATCATCGTACATTTGATCATCGATGATCATGTTCTCCAGCATGATTTATGATGATCCAAAGAGCATTTTTTTCTTCAGTAAGAAGCAAGAATACCTAACCAGTGTACAAAGGTGGTCACATGATAAGTGTCACAAATTGACTTATTTGATTGGTCACTAATCAAATAAGTCAATTTTGTGACACTGATCATGTGAACTCCTTTGTACAAACTGGTCAGATATTCTTGCTTGGAAATAATGCAGAAACCTATTATAAATTACTTATTCATGTTGCATCAATGTCACATCATTAAACTGCTTATTTCCAGCTTTTAATTGGATTTTGAGTCCCAGATTTTCTGTGCTGCATAAATGCACTTAGTCAGGAGCCACAACACAAGTGTCACATGCTTGAAAGCTGATGCTCCTCCACAGCTGAAAAATTCGGAAGACCTATGCTGATTGTCATGACAACGATGAGACGCAGAGTGAAAAGAAGGGCTCTATAGCGGGGCGAGACACTGAAGTGCCAGTGGGAAGACAAATATAATTTTAAGATTTCAGTTTTAAGAGAGTAATCAGACATTTAGTCATAAATATATACTTCTTCCTAGAAAAGAATAAATAGAAAATCATGAATTTGATACACACATTGATATCTAGACCAGATAATGACCATAGATATAACTTAAAATCTTGAAAAGCAACAGTAACTGGACTTAAGTCAATATGGTTTGCTATTTGCAACCCATTTTACTTGCATAATGTGGCATGTTTCCAGGTTAAACAGTATACTGAATGAGGAAAAATGTAGGGTGGAACCTGATTTTATTAATGGAATATTGATTGGATGGTGAAAAAGTGGTGATACATACCAGAATAAAGCCTTAGTGTTTGTTAAAACCATACTTAAAACCTTTTTAAAACCTGCTGGTTTACATTCTTCAGCAGTCCGCTTGGCTAAAGTGATGAAAGTTATTACTGTATACTCTGTTCATAAGTTTGGAGTCTCTTATGTTCATCAAGGCTGCATCTATTTGTTCAAAAATACAGTAAAAGCAGTAATACTATGAAATGTTATTACAATTTGAAATAACTGTTTTCTATTTGAATGTATTTTATTTCATATGGTCATGTGATTGCGCAGCTCAATGTCAGCATCATAACTCCAGTCTTCGGCATCACATGATCCTTCAGAAATCATTTTAATATACCGATTTTCTGCTTAAGAAACATTTCTTATTGTTATCGATGTTAAAAGAGTTAATACTCGTCAAGAGGAAGATGAGAGACACCAGACCCAACAATGCAGATGAGCTGAAGGCCACTGTCAAAGAAACCTGGGATTCCAAACCACCTCAGCAGTGCCACAAACTGATCACCTCCAAGCCACGCCGAATTGAGGCAGTAATTAAAGCAAAAGGAGCCCCTACCAAGTATTGAGTACGTGTACAGTAAATTAACATACTTTCCAGAAGGCCAACAATTCACTAAAAACATTTTTTTTATTGGTCTTATGAAGTATTCTAATTTGTTGAGATAGTGAATTGGTGGGTTTTTGTTAAATGTGAGCCAAAATCATCACAATTAAAAGAACCAAAGACATAAACTACTTCAGTCTGTGTGCATTGAATTTATTTAATACACGAGTTTCACAATTTGAGTTGAATTACTGAAATAAATGAACTTTTCCACAACATTCTAATTTATTGAGATGCACCTGTATGTATTTTGATACATTTTATATTTTTGATATGTTATGATATTTTCTTTAAGGATTCTTCAAAAGAGCAGCATTTATTTGAAATGGAAATGTTTTGTAACATTATAAATCTCTTTAATCATGAAGACAAACGTTTTCTTTAAAACAACATGCTCTAATGAATCGTTCACAAAAAGGCCAAGAACGTGCCTTGGGACAGTAAATATGGTTCATTTTGATTTCATGTTGACTTTAAGTAACTCTGCAGTCAGGATTGATGAATTTATACTCGCTACTTTAGAGAAGTGATTTTATACCGATAAGAGTCTACAACTCAACACTACTAACAGGAAAGAGTCCATCATAAACTGTAACCAGAGTTGTACACGGCACAATGGTTTCTCATCATCCCAACCTCAGCCAAACCATCTGAGAAGAATTGAACTTTCTGACAAACTGTTTGACGGAGGGTCTCCTCGGAAAGATTAATCCTAATCAGGTTGGCATGTGAGAATGAGCGTGTGCTTACGTCTCCAGCCTAGTTCTGTGGAAGCAGTCATGTGATGCCATCAGATGGTAGCTCAGGTCAGCGTTTGCAAATTGCAGACGTCTCTCTCTCTTTTGTCTGTACCTCACATGTGTTAGCACTCTCATCCCAGTGTGCCTGAAACATAAACACACCTGTGGTGTGGAGCAGCTCTGCTGTTAAGTGAGCAATGCATCATCTCTGCAGAAGTATGCATGACACGCATTTGGATCACATTATTTCACTTGTTGAAGTGGAACAGCTCATGTCTGGCCCTCATAATAGGGCCCAGCTGCGGCCGTACGGGCCAATGAGATGAGTGAAGGAAGGAGAGGGTTTTTTGTGGAGAGCATGACTGCATGATCAGCCCGTTGACGCTAATGAAGTCGTCCAGATGTATTGTTGAATGGTAGCTCATTTCCTCTCCCATCCTTCACGCGGTTTGACCTGTAATAATGTGTGTTTGTATATGTGTGTAGGGTGCTGTGATAACGCCAGCCATGGACCACACCATCTCCATGCAGCCCGCTAACATGATGGGACCCCTCACCCAGCAGATGAACCACCTGTCCATGGGTACCACTGGCACTGTGAGTGTGTCCTCTGCCTTCATCATAAGGCCTGTTCACCTTCTGCTGGTCTGAATCGCAGAGGAGCTGAAGAAAGTTAAATGCTAATTAAAAGTTTGCAAACTGTTATGGAAAAAAAGAACAAGGAAGTTTAGCGCTAATTCAAAATACTTACTGTATAGTATAGTACTATAAAGTGTAACTGTATATAAATAAATTAGTGCTGTGAAATGATTAATCACATCCAAAATAAAAGTTGTTACATGATAAATATACACAGTACACACACATATATTATGTTTATATAAACACACACACATGCATGTATATATTTAAGAAAAATATTATTTGTTTATATATAAAATATTAATATTTACATAAAATATAAATTATATTTGAATATAAATATATATATATATACATGTAAATATTTTTTTAAATATATACACATATGTTTGTGTATTTATATATACAGAATAAATATACACAGGACACACTCATATTTTGAAAACAAAAACTTTTATTTTGGATGCGATTAATCGTGATAAATCATTTGACAGCACTAATATAAATACTAAAATGCCACTAGTTTGCAGACTGATCACTGAACCTGTTTGTACTCAAGCATTTCTTCATTAATAACATTATTTTAGGTTTAGTCACTATTGTACTTTCATGGTAAGTTGTGGCAATCTTACAATGAAATAGATTTTACTGAGTGAAGATACAACTCAGCAAGAAAGATATACATAAATGTTTAATAAGAGGATAGATTTGCATCATTGTGAGCAGTGAAATATGTACTTTAAATTTTGAAGGTCTAAATGAAATTGTAAATCATTAGAAATGTAATGAGTAAAAGTACAACTATTCATTTCTAGTAGTACCTAAATTGAAAGGAAAAGCAAAAAGGAATCGACTAATATAAGCATTGAAAATATGTTTGTTATCATATAGCATTCATCTCAACAAGATTCTTCATCCTGTATGGAGCCAGGGACATGATGATGCATAAAAATATGACATTGGAGGAAAAATTATACTTCAAGGCTTTTGCATTCACTTACAAAACCTTTGCGCTCCTCCTCCCTCTCAAAAGCATTGAAATATAGTTTTCCTTCCATCTCATATTATTTCCATCATCAGTCAACAAAAGTAGTTTCTCTGTGCAAATGCAAATCTTCTGTGTGCAAATGCATGGAAAAATAGAATCTTTTCCTCCCATGTCTTATTTTTTTCCGTCAAGTCCCTATAGGGGCTCTGTTTTTCTGTGGCGGTCACTTGACAAAATAGCTTTTGATGTACTATATTAGTGCCACCAATTGCACTGTAAGATGCAGCAGCTGCAGCTCCGCCGATGTTTGGTCACAATTTGAATAGGTCCATACTATGCAAAGTTTAGTTTGCTACAGTATGTGTGAATGAACTGTGTCTCTGTGTATGTATTTGTTGCAGTACATGACTGCGGCTGCTGCTCCTATGCAGGGGACCTACATTCCCCAGTACACTGCGGTGCCTGCCTCAGCTGTCTCAGTGGAGGTGAGTTTCTGGGCGACTGCAAATCCATTCACTGGTCCAACTGATTAGATGAGCGCTGCTAATTGAAAACGTGGAGATCAGTCACCTCGGGCTAAAATACGCCCACAACTTCCTTAGTGCCTTTTATTTCAGCTTTACAAGGCCTGATTTCAGTGTGAAGCACGTCTTTAAGTTCATTCTGGTCTGAGTACCAAACACAGCCCTAAGGCCACTTTTTGGAGGAGGTTAACATGTCATTCTGTTTCTTGTGAGGGGACATCCTGTAAATATGACATCATATCCTTCCAGGGAGTGGTGACGGAGGCTTCTCCACAGAGCGTTCCGCCCTCGTCACAGGATGCCAGCGGTCAGCAACAGCCTCTGGGCATGGACAACACCAGCGATCACGCGCCCACCTACACTTTTCAGCCCGCTAAGTGAGTTTGATATTCACATTGATAAGACAAATAGGGACAATGTATCTTGTTTACATATATTCATGACAAGCACACAACGTTTTTACAACATTTGCAACATTTTACAACATTGCAATAAATAATAAATATAAAGTATAGTAACCAAACTGGACATGCAGTTTACGTTTTTGCAGTAAATGACCAAAAATAACCGATTCCAGTTTTATTGTGCAAGGATGCATTAATTTAACCAAAAGTGGTAGTTAAGATTTCTGTTTCAAATAAATGCTGAAAAAATGCATCACAGTTTATGCAAAAATATTAAGCCGCACGACTGTTTGATAAGACATTTTGAGCACCAAATGAATGATTTCTAAAGGATCGTGTGACACTGAAGACTGGAGTAATGACTTCTGAAAATTCAGCGTTGCCAACACATGAATATGTTATATTATAAAATATATTAAAATAGAAAACAGTCATTTTAAATTCTAATAATATTTCACCATATTATTTTTTACTGTATTTTTGATCCAATAAAAGCTGCCCTGGTGAGATTTTGTTAAACAATATTAAACACATCTTACCAACCCCAAACTTTTGAACAGTAGTATAAAGCAGTGTTTCCCAACTGGGGTGCTGTCTGTCGAGAGCAGGGGTGCCGTGTAAAAAATAATTTTTTAATATTTTTAAATGGCTAAAATATTCAAAAAAGCAAATATTATATAATATCCATTTCTGATGTCGCCAATAATTAGAGATGCACCGAAATTCCGGCTGCCGAAAATTAGTTCACCGCTCAGGTTTCACGTGGTGTGACGCTCTGTGTATTATCCCGCTCTATGCGTGTGTGCTCCGCTCAGACGCTCCACTCGTATACCGTTCATGCTCATCGGAACAGCAAAGTCCACTCGAAAACTGAGCTGACAGGAAACATCGATGTAGTACAGTATTGTTTCTGTCTGTAATAGCCCTACTGTGTTGTAACATGGCGTGGTATATGGTCAACTCTGGTAATGCTGCCCTTTCATTCACTGATCTGCTAACCGCTATGTTATGCTCACATGTTCTGATAATAATAGCTTTCTAGGACTAAACATTATTTGGATAATTGGTTAAAAATATATATATTTTTTAAATATCTTAACCCTACTGTTAGACCTACCTGAAAAACTAAAAAGCAATTTATTTAATTCGAAGGCCTGTGATATTTTTTTATTTGTGCTATCATTATTAATTTCTTTATTTGTTCTTATTTTATTACTGACTGCTTACTTGTCATTTTTTATTCAATTCAAAGTTTGAAATCAAATTACCCCACTGTAAAATAAAAAAACACAGAGTGAGCAAAAATTTGTGAGATAGCTAGTTATAATGGTAATTAAATAATGTATAAAAGCCTTCATTAAAATCTGTCATATAAATTGGTCTCTTCATTAGAAATTAGCCTACTGATTCCCACCATTGATGGACAAAATTTTTTAATAATATAAAAAATATCTGTATGACATTATATTCTGCAGTTCTTCCCTGTTGTACCAAATATCTATACTTTTCAAATTATCATATTGAAGTTAGAAATTCAAATATTGTGACAAAATGTATTTTGTAGGGTGCCACAAGTTTGTTAAAATTTCCAAAGGGTGCCGCGACTAAAAAAAGGTTGGGAAACACTGGTATAAAGGAGAGGTTACAATTTGGTCCCAAATGTAAGCAAAATAAGACATACTAAACAATACTGAAACCTATGTTTAAAAAATGAAGTGAAAACACCAGAATACAATCAGGCCACATTTCAGCACAGCCGTGAGGTTCTTAATATGTTTCAGTGCTAGCAACTTCATAACAGTATTCTGCAACATTGTAAAAATGCACATCTTTTGTTTTAAGTATGTATATTTAAAATGTTTTCACAACCTTTTCACGACCTAAATGTATAGCTGTTAACTGTGGGCAGGCTGAATTCTTGATAAGGCCTTATATTTAGCTCAATAAATGCTGTTGTTATTGGGCCATCGGGAATAAGTGATAATCCATGAGTGAACCTTGAATTGGATACAGTATGCTTTTCAAACTCTATGACTTTCTCATTGGTTCAGATAACCAGAGGAGGAGGGGGCGTTAAGGTGACTGCGTTGCCTTGAGACTGGGGGACTGCAACGAGGGAACATTGAAGACAGAGCGCAAGAAACAGGGAAACACGTTTGTGTCTACTTTTGCACAAGCATCTAAAATAAAAACATCTACAACAAACAAACAATTTATTTAACACCTGGCCCACACCGGAGGACCTTTGGAGAACTCGCACCCAGACCGGAAACGTGAGAAATGCAGTCTGGGAGATCGAGCCTACTGTTAATCGGCTATCCGAAAAACCTTACCTTCACGAAGTGAACGAAATCAAACAAGTACAAGTTTTCCTATTCTTTTTTTGAATGTGCAGGTAGGTTTTCAGAAACAGTGGGTTTTTCTATTAGATGAGGAAGCACGTTCTTGTAAATCAATGAGAGATGGAGTGAAAGAAGTCTTCCTCGGATTCTAAGCTACTATTACTTTTCTTTTTTTATGAGTTAGATTTTAGTTTTCTAGAGAATATCAATGTTTTTTCATCTTTGCTGCCTTAATTTCAAGAAACATCTAAGACTTTTTCCTGTTTGAACTGAACAGACTGATGAATGCAGTGAAAATGACCTGATAAAGAAAGGAAATTACCTGTATAAAGCATAGAAAGAGAGAGGTCTCCTTGAGACGTTTTAAATTATCAGTGGTGACTTTGTGCTTAATAGAGAGGACAGACAAAAAAAAATATTGTGGTCATGATGATGAGGATGGTTAAAGAGAGTTGCATTTTTTAGGAACAGAGGAAAAAAATGTTAATCCACTGCATCATGGGAAATGCAGTTTATTGTGTAGTGCAGATCATTTTTAATGGCATTATTGTTTTTATCTGCTATATTTTTTATGAGCTTTAAGGATGTTTTTAGCCTGCTTTGCTTGTTTCATTGCGGAAAAAAAGAAAACTAAAACAGTCAAAAAAATGGCAGTGCAAATCTAAATAGATAAGAGCTTATGGATTAAATCAAAACGAAAAAAAAGCAAATGTGTGCAAAAAGCAATAGTAATAGGAAATTGTTGACAATTTCTTTAGTCTTTCTTAGCTGTGGATCAAATGCAGCCCGTGGATGGCATATTTTATACCAAAGATGAAGAAACCCCCCTCAAGACAGTGGAGTGGATCAATTATTTTGTTTATTTTTTCTATTTGAGATTTTTTTTTTGGCGTAATCATTTGGTTTCAGAAGTATCCATTTGACCTTGATGGCTAAACTGGTACTTTAGGGTTTAAACTTCCTTCCACTGTTGCAGAATCTATGTCAATCGTTCAGTTGAAAGGCAGAAAACCACCATCACTGATTCTCATGAGTGTGATCTCCCCAGCAGAGGGTGTCAGAGAGCGGGGGAACCATCAATCATCTCCCGTCTGCCCGGCTGAATGAGCTATACCTCTATCGCTGCACCTTCTCAGTCGCCGACCGACGGTCGGTCGCTATTAAACACGTCGCACATCAGTTCAGTTCGAGCTTTCACACACAGAAGGCCATTTACATAATTTCAGCTCAACAGGAAGGAATCAAATCACTCACTAGTGTGTATTTAAACTCTGTGTACAGATCACTACCTCATCGAAATAAATTTTACCATGAGGAAACACAGGAGAATGTGTTGCAGGTCATGAAACACAAGCTTTGCTTCAGGGGCACTGAGAAACGTTTGCAATTAACAGCATTAGCATTTTGTTCTGAGCACTCCCACTCCCTATTTGCAGTCGCATCGATCGAAATGCCTCATATTATATGCAAGGTTTCCTTAATCAACCAGATGCCATAGGAAATCTCTCATGAAAATGGCAGTCTTTACTTGAAAAACAAAGGCTCTGTCCCAAAGCCCTTGCTGGTCGAGGCCACATTTTGGTGGCATAATTCTAGTTAGTAATCCATAGTGACCCTAAAATCACAATCGCGACACATTATGGTCACATGGGTGCACAATGACCATTGCAAGACGGCGGATACACATCAACTACGCCATTTGGGACAGAGCCTAAGGTTCCCATTCTTATGGGATTCGATGGTTGCTCAGGTGCCTTGACAGCTCGGAATTAAGGTTAGAAATATCACGTGTGACATTTCAACCTTCCATATCTGAAATGTGCTTTCTTTTTATCAGGCTGCCCATTCCAGAGGGGGGAAACTAGCAAACAGAAGAGCAGACAGAGGGAACATTTCATAAATTAAAGGGATAGTCCATCCAAAAATAAAAATTCTGTCAAAATGAAGAACAATGTTAACCAAACATTTTCGGTTCCCATTGACTTGCACTGTATGGACAAAAGATACAATAACAGTCAATGGGACCTGAAACTGTTTGGTTGCCAACATTCTTTAAAATGTTCTCTTTATATTGCGTAGAAGAAAGTAAGCCATGTTTGGAACAACATGAGTAAATTTTCATTTTTGGACAGACTATCGCTTTAATATGCAAACAAGGCTGCTGTCCTTTATTTACCATGAAGTAGATGTTATTTTAATGCAATCAGATAGGAAAGTGCTATATTAATACGTTAGCAAAGAGTTTCAATACACATGGTGAATTATGGACTGTCTTTGCTGCCTTCATGGTCATACGGCTCATAAATACGCCTCCTAGTTTTACAGTCGGGTAATTCGAGTTGTCGAGGTGCTCTGGGAATAAATTCATCTGTCATTTAAAGACAGGCGAGAGACATCAAGATCAATTTATTCCTTTTGAACGTCATCATGGACACTTGGGTCTTTTTTCCTGTTTTCCTACAACATGACCTCTATACAGCTACGTAATGATCTCCATTAGCCACTAGGGGACAGTATTAAAGCAAAGTTGGTGTACTTTATCCTCTGGTGATGACCATTGCAGTGAGATATGAGACAAGTTCACACTGTGGATTAAAGCGATGCCAAGTTCATAATGACCAAGACAACACTGCTTCAATAAGGACAAGCTAGCTTTTCAAAAAAGTCACTGTTTTGTGTCTGTTATCCACTGTCTTTTTGGAGAGTTATTTTTATCATGTGCTCGCTGCTATCAAGCATTCAGTATTTAAGTGGTCAGGGCCTTGGGAATGGAGAGAAAATTTGGGCTGGTATCTCATATGAGAGGTGTGTGATGATGTCGAATGCGTTATACACTCTGCAGCCTTCATGGTTTTCATTCAAGAGTGAATAAATGTGTCCGATTAAGCTGAAGGTTTTCTCATCCCAACTGTAATTTAGTAAGCTAAACACCTTTCATCCACGATGGTTTTCGCTGGCTAGAAACACTGCTCCCATTCATTTGATGGATGTGAGGTCCAAGCCATGCTTTTTTTTATCTGTACATCTGATTGGCTGTCACAGTTGTGGTCACTGAATGACGAATGTTCGTCCATTAGTTTGTTGGACTGTTAAGAAACAGCGTACTACGTTCAACCAAATTCAACACAAACTGCAAAACCTCAATTAGACACTAACGTACTGGCAGATGAAATAGAGAAATATTTATGGAAATGTTTTTGTACAGGTGTTGTTGAAATATGAAAGCGGAACAGTTTTACGATGCTACAATGATTTCTTGAGTTGCTTCACTTTCTTGCCTCCCATGTGCTCGAGCTGTGATCCTGAGAGTGTCTGTAGACCAGTGGATGTTAGGTTTAAACTTCTGTTTCTTTTTTTTTTCTTTTGATGAAGCTTTCAATAAAAAAAATCTACAAAATCACGCCACTTTTTGATTCTGGTTGAACTTTTGTTTTTGTGACTATTTATGCTGTTTGTTGAAAGAGCCAATCAATGTTATAACCCTATAGCAGTCGCTGCACATTTTACGTCGAAAAATTGCACACTCTTTAACAGGGCTCTAGATGCAACAATAAAATACATATTTCCAAAAAATAATTTGAAATCTAGTTAGGGAAAACCTCCGTATGTGGTCCACGTGCCCCCAGTGTTTGCTGCACGCAACAATGAACACGGCCAAGACGTGATGTCCGATTCACAAATAAATTATTATTTTGAACTAGTTGAGTCAGATTCACAAAACAGCCCCAAACTCGCTCGTGGGTTAGCGGTTTGAATCAGATCTCACTCGGTCAGTGAATCATTTAGTGAGAGTGTCTGTAGACCAGTGGATGTTAGGTTTAAACTTCTGTTTCTTTTTTTTTTCTTTTGATGAAGCTTTCAATAAAAAAAATCTACAAAATCACGCCACTTTTTGATTCTGGTTGAACTTTTGTTTTTGTGACTATTTATGCTGTTTGTTGAAAGAGCCAATCAATGTTATAACCCTATAGCAGTCGCTGCACATTTTACGTCGAAAAATTGCACACTCTTTAACAGGGCTCTAGATGCAACAATAAAATACATATTTCCAAAAGATAATTTGAAATCTAGTTAGGGAAAACCTCCGTATGTGGTCCACGTGCCCCCAGTGTTTGCTGCACGCAACAATGAACACGGCCAAGACGTGATGTCCGATTCACAAATAAATTATTATTTTGAATCTAGTTGAGTCAGATTCACAAAACAGCCCCAAACTCGCTCGTGGGTTAGCGGTTTGAATCAGATCTCACTCGGTCAGTGAATCATTTAGAGCCATTACTGAGTTTACAACTGACTCCTTCACTGAATCGTGAGTCATTTTTCAGTTATGTCCGATTCAGGGTTACTATCCTTATCTGTAACTAAAACTACAATCATTAAAAACATTTTCATTACTCAAAATAAAATAAAAATGAACTGAAATAAAATATAAAAAACTTAAACTTAGTGTATTTCAGCTACTTGCCAAGGCTACATTTCTCATTTGCGTTTTCTTTAAATTATAATTATATATCTAAAAAATACTAATACTAAATACTACTTTAAATATGAAAATAAATACTACTAAACTAAAACAAAACCTATATTTTATTAAAAAAAACTATATTTATAAATATGTAAATGTTTGTTTATATGTTTATAAAATATATAAAATATAGAAATAACATCTTATTCAAAATATTAACAAAACCTGCAATAGTGTATCAATGAGATAAATGAGATAAATTGAATAAATGAAATTCAAATTGAAGCTGTAATGTACAGTATAATTTGAGGTTCTAAAATTAGTATTTACTGACTGGTTTTTAATATGACAACATATAAATAATACATATTCACAACATACTTTTGTTGTAAAGAATATATAGATAATATAAAGCATATTATTGGTTATTGTTTAGCATATGCAGTCTAAGTCTTGAAGGATGAATCGACTGTAAGAGAAAGTTAGCTTGGGACTGTAAGCCTGTATCAACACAACATTTGAACTTCAACATTTTAATATTCTAAATACATGCCAAAAAATACAATCATGGTCATGGTATAGAGCAATAAATAATATACAGTAGTCAACATTTGAAGTGGATCAAAACCTTTCATCAAAGTTGTCCTAAAGCCAAAACAATATCAGTTCTTGTCTTAGGACAACTTTGATTAACTTTTTTAATCCACTTCAAATGTTGACTACTATATATTAAATACAACTGGAAAACACAAATTGATGTAAATGTTTAACCATGGTTGTATGTTACTCTTTATTAAAAAGACAGGCTGGAAATATACAAACGTACACACCAATTGTGAGTTAAAACAGTACAATGGCCATACAGTGTCTTGACAAAAACGATATGCTCTGCAGAGCAGAACAAGCAGACAGATCACAGACACTCCAATGGAAAGAACGAGAGGTTGGTGAACTCTGCCCTTCTCTGTAGGGCCTGTAACAGTTTGGGACTGTCCTCTGCCCACTCATTCAACACTGATCGATAACGGGATTGTTCAGACACACACGTGACTGTTTCAGTCTTGTGTTGATTGCCTGGCCTCCCACACCCCTAGCCATCCTCCTCTGCTGCAGACAATACTCATTTTCATATCTGACATTTAGCTACAGTAGAAGAGGGTGGAGACTCTCAGCATGTACCAACCAAAGATGATCTTGACTGATATGCTAAAGATTATTTTTGTTTGAATCCACAGTAACTAATTTGAAATTGTTTTTAATTAATTAATTAATTATTTTTACACGTCTAAATTATTATTTGCATACAACAATAGTAATATTATTACTAATAACTTTTATTAATCTTTACAAATATGATCTATTTTTACTGACAGTCTATTGTCATTGTTTATGAGATATAAATGGTAGTAAATTTATTTATATAAAATGTCTTTTTAAAAGCTACACTTTTGAGAGTGATAATTAACCTTTGAATATTTTTTTCTTTTAATAAAACTACCATTGGTAAGGTCTAAAGACCCAACATATAGTGCAATTTTTTAATAATAACATTAAAAAAATGAAATATTGCACTGATATCAGGCTATCTGTCTATGTAATCTTGACAAACAGATTGCAAATTTCTGTCTTGTACTGTCAGCTCTGGCCAGTACTTGCAAGACTAGAAAACCACTGCCTGGCTGCATTACCAAGACTGGCAGTTTTGCTTAAAAAGCACTTTTAACTCCGTAACCAACCTAGTTTCCTATTTCCCATGGAATGACTGCTAATGATTTGTGCCATTAACACACTTTCCATTGTCTCATGTTTCTTCTCATCCCATCCTTCCCTGTTCCACACTCCTCACCCGTTCCTTCCTCACTGCCACTGCATCTTTTTCCCCTCTTTTGTCTTGTTCTCAATGTTAATGTTTCATAAGTTGTCTCATGCTGTGCTGGCACTGCCTCCAAACACTCTGAGCTTGCATAATATGAAGCTGAAACTGCTGCCAAAAGGTGTTCAGTCTGTTTCTTTCTCTCTTTCTCCCCCTCCTCAAGATGTAATGGGGAAAACACTGCAAATATTAGCAGCTCCAGGGTCAAAGGACACATTGACTGTTTGAGGGATTTGCTCATACACTTTCAAAAATCAAAAGACTTTCACTGGCTTCTCGACTGAAATGATCAAGTGAAACAAGTTTTGCCGTATTCCTATTCCCGCTGCTCGTTTCCAGCCAAAACATGCTTTTGCTTTAAATCAGAACTGGATTTCAAAATCACTGGGATATGAAGCAATCCTGCATTCCTCTGGAATTGAGTTGCTGTGTTTTGTAGCAATTGGTTATTGACGTATTATTTCTTGTAACATCTTTTGTCTCTGACAGAAGTGAGTTATGCCATGGCAACCGTAGTTGTTTCTGTGGCTGCACACTATACAAAGCAACATCTTTCACACATCCTGCTTGCCTTATGTTTGTTTATTAAATGTTTTGGTTAATTAAAGGGAAAATCATATCATCTTCTACATCCCTAATCCTACCCAATACCTAAATTTAACATCTACCTTACAAACTATTAATAAGCAGTAAATTAGGAATTTACTGAGGGAAAAGTCCTAGTTAATAGTGAATTTGTTCCCTATTCTAAAGTGTTACCATAAAATCTAATAATTTGGTATATATATATATATATATATACATACATACATACATACATACATAACCCTATAAATGCATAAATACTATTATAAATATTACATGTAATACTGTGAAAAAAGTGAATTCAAGAATATATAATAAAAAATATATATAATATTCAAAAGTTTTTTTTTCTTCAAGAAATTGATACTTTTATTCAGCTAAATGCAATAAATTGAATTTCTAACGTTATGAATAATTCCATTTTAAAAATTTCCATTCAAGAATCCTGGTCAGTGATATCATCAATTGTTTTTGTAGCTGAAATCATGGAACAAAAACTGTATTTTGGATATTGCAGTACAAAAACTGATGATGCTGAAAGGTGATTGGTTCTTTTAACTAAAGGGGGGGGCTTACATTTAGAGCTGTCATTTCTCCTATTTCATTTGTCTGTATGAGTTCTGTTTCCTCTCCTCTATGTACTCTTTGTCTCTGCCAATAAGTTTGTTATTGGTTTTGATTTTTGTTACTGGTACTGCCTTGACGTAATGATATTTAATGATGAAAAGTACATTGTTTTTGTAGTACTCCATTTTGAAAGTGTTTTTCCAATGTCTCATACTTTGGTAGCTCTGCTCCATGTGTCTTAAAAAGAGCTATGGTGTTTCATGCTGCGAGACAAGATTCAAGGGTCTCTACGTTTTTGTTAGTAACGGAGAC